CAGTCTATGGGAGAGGCTCCGTAGGACAGATTGCTGTGGCATGCAACAGCTCAAGAACTGTAGATGAATTATTCAGGGAGCTTCGTCAAAGGGAGCGCAGCGTCTGTGCCACCCACAACAGCATGGATCACGGAGTCGTTGGGAACATCAATTGCGATTTTCTAGATGGACAGTTCAAGGTGCTGGTGATCAACGTAGATATCCTCCAGGTCGTGCATGTCATCAACTTTGAGCTGCCGGAATCTTCTAGTGGCTACCTGTCTTCTGTTGGTATCAAGTCTGGGTTAGGCTCCTGCATAGTTATCAACTTGGTGACTAGCAGGGATGATCATTTTCTCAAGTACATGAATTCAAAAAGATCTTCATAAGATTTCTGTGGGCTACATAAGGTCTTCATAAATCCATAAGAAGTCCATATCAAGTCTGGGATAAGCTGCTGCGGGGTCATCAACATGGACTTATGTTGAAATTCTCATTTTAAACAAGCAAAAGCGTTCATCTCATCTTGTTAGGAATTTTGAGTTTTCCCAAACCCTGAAACTATGACATATTTAAGAAAGTTCTGTCCTCCCAAAATCCAATCTGAAGATAAGATAAATGTACTACAATTTTCTCTTTTAATTTTTGGTTTTCTTGAAAATGTTAGGAGCTATATTATCCAAATAATGCAGGATGGTCTCCACCCTTTCCTTTTCAGTTTTACTTGTGTAAAATTCAATCAAGAATAGTTGAAAACGCAAAAACTGCTCTCTTTCAGGAGCAGTGGCAGATCGATGTCGTCTATTATAGTAGAATTGAAAATTATTATTAATTGGCTCCGTCTCACCGGAAGAAACCGTCTCGGGCCACTAACACGGGAGTCAGACGTTTATAGCTTTGGATCGTGCTGCTAGAGCTGGGGAGGCGGCCGATGATGTTCAGGATATTCATGTGGGTGATGCCGAAGCGATGCCGATTATGGAGCTGTTTGATCTGAGCTGCTGGAGCTGGATCCCGAGTAGGCTGAGTGGAAGGAGTTTACATGGAACAAATTCTCATTTAAACAAGCAAAAGCGTTCATCTCATCTTGCCAGGAACTCTGAGTTTTCCCAAGCCTGAAACTATGACATAGTTGAGAAAGTTCTGTCATCGCAAACTCTCTTGATATTTACTGTTGCTAGGAAAGGAGACGAATAAGACACGGCATGGATAATCCAAATTGCATTTTTGCATCCATCAGTCTCACGCTTCAAGGTGGGCACCACGAGACTCTCAAAAAACAACATATAGATAGATTCTTGGAGTTCTTCACTATTTGATCAACATGGGGAAAGGTCACGCTATAGTTTTGGCCATTTTAAACAGCGAGAATCCTTCGTTCCAAATCCCATCCTTTTCTTTGTTTGGACCCAAGTTGAGTTACAAGATTTTGGAAGCGACTTTCAGTCTAGACAAGATATGAGCAACATGTGTTCTCCTAAAGCTTTGAACGACTTTACCTTTGATGTAATCCAGATCACAACACCAATGAGACTGTTACCGGCAAAAAACCGTCAGCCCTGCTTCTACAACTGAGAATGCTGCTCCTGCGGCTAGATGTCCAGGATGAAGCTCTGAAAGTTCTTGTCAATGTCCGTCTCCACTACCAGCTGAAACCTCACGTACATAATCCATCCTTAACCTTCTCTTACCTAATTGTTAACATCAATTGTCACCTTTCTGCAGCATTTGACCTGCTTCTGGCAGTATAATTCAACTAGCTATCCAATAACATGTGATATATGAAGGACAATCGAGCAAGAGATCCATGAAAATACACTGAAAGATTTGTGGGACAATCGGGCTAAAGAAGGTCAATGATGGATTCAGCTGATAACAAAGGGCTGTACATTTAGAGCTTCCCCAAGGTTTCCGTCAGGCATCTCCAGGTATGGTGTGAGGCGCCATCCAATCTCCTCCTTTCCCATAGAGCACGAATTCCAGTAAATCCAGCAGTAGCCATGTGGACAAGATCTACTGGAGATCCCTGGCAAAAACTTCAGAAATGTTACGGCTTTTCCACAGTGTCGCATGGAGTTTCTATGACTATACACTGGACCTTTTCGTGCGGATCATTCCAAACCGACACTGAGATTTGCCGAAACAATATATAGGACGCTCACCTTCATTCCATGAGACTACACAACACAAAAGAAAAAGGAGAAATAGATCGGTATCACACAAGAAAATCCCAAATACCAGGAACTTTGATGGAAATTCTAAGAATTCTGTCCAGATTTCCAAGCTTGCACTGTTTCAAACAGTTTTATTTGCGGTAGAAGAACCGGTCTCCGTTGAAGGAGGAGGAGGAGGAGAAGTTTCCGGCGGTGTGAGTGGAAATCCCACCCCGTGTCTGTTCGTGGGGAAGTACAAGAACACGGCACTGACGAGGAAGCCCGAGAGCGCCGGGGCCGATCCGACGAACGAGTCGGGCACCTTGACAAAGCAGCTGACAACGTCGGTGGAAAAGGTGGTGGTGGTCATGAACGCAAACACCGCGAGCAATGCGTGGACGAAGTCCGAGAACCTGATCCGGTACTGGGAGAGATTGATGGTGCATTGGATCTGGGGAGTCCACAGGCCTCGGAATGTTGCGAGGCCGTAGTAGACCTTCCCATTCGGGGCCTGGAAACTGTCCGTGAAGGAGAGCGTGAAGCAGAGGATCGCGCAGACGAGGAGGAAGATCGCGCTCAGGAGCTTGTTCTCGCAGGATCCGGCGCGGAAGAGGATTGGGTCGAGCATCTGGAAGAAGAGGACGGTGCCTGTTGGGAGCATGTTTGCCAGATTTGCGGAGCCGTGGAGGGCGGTGGTGAGCGTTCTCGAGATCAAGTTCTGGAATTCCTTGATGTCGTCGCTGAGCTTCTCGTCGTCGATGGCGTGATCGTGATCGTCCGGTGGAGACGACGAGGAAGTCGGGGCTCCGCTGGTTGGGAGGAGCCTCTGCGTCACCCCGGCATTGTCCATGGATGATCTTGGATGTTTGATTCTCCTAAAGAATGGCGTTGTCCCGAAAGACCCAATTGGAACACACTTTGATCTTTGAGGAGCCCGCTAGCTAATGATGGAATCAAGAAACGAGACCATTGAAAGAACAGAAGAAGAGAAATTTGATCCCGAGAAACTCACGAAAAGACCATCGAATGATCGAATAGCGTGCTCACCTGATCGAGATGAGAAATTTTTTGTAGATAACGAGATTACTCCCAAAAAGAGATCACATGTTCCTGGTATTTGTAATCTCTGCCCAGGAAGTGACAAGATCGATAGGAGCAAAACGAGAGTCCCTTGAGTAAACTTGAAGAGAGGAAGCCAAAAAGCCCAAAAGCAAGGAAAGAATTTGCCTGCACGTTTTCTCCACAGTTTTTGCGTTGCGTATCGAGCTCCGGAGTCGTGCGTTATAGGCTGGACTTTGCCTGTAATCAGAAGGAAAGAAGCTCTTTTTTCTTGGCTTTTGGGGAAGTTCCTCTCGTGAAACTGGCAGCCCTGATATTCGAACACAAACCTCGAGATTTGATTAGTCATTAACTAAGATCATGCAAAAGGTTTAAACCATATTAAAGGTGGATATCAAACAAATTCATACTATTTCACCTTCAAATCAATTTGAACTCTTTCACAATCAAAATATAGAAACAAATAATCGCTCGTGGACTTTTAATCTAAGTGACGATCATGCTTTGGAGGTCTATGCAGTCTAGATTAGAAAAAGTTTAGAAAAAACAGAAGAATCATAGTAAATAAAACAATTATCTAATACAAGAATATTTTATTTTGATATCTGAATCAATATAATCATGGGATTGACTCTCAAGAAACAAATATCTTAGATAAGAGTGAACTTTCCAATGCAGCTAAAGGTCATGCTTTGGAGGATGCGGTAGTCTTTGGAGGCTTCACAGGAAATCCAATTCCATGTCTCGTTGTTGGGAATAACAAGAACACACTACTCACGAGGAAGGCCGTGATGGAAGGCGCGGCTCTCACAACCTCGTCCGGAACCTTGAAGAAGCAACTCGCAACATCGGTGGAGAAGGCACTGGTCGTGAGGAACACATAAACCGTGAGAAAGGCATGGACGAAATCACCAGCAGTGATCCTAAACTTGGAGAGATCCACGCCAGGGCACGGCTGCTCGATCTGCGGAGTCCACATCCCGCGGAAGGTCGCGAATCCATAGTAGACTTTCCCATTGGGCGCCTCGAAGCTATCCGTGAATGAGAGGACGAAGCACACAACGCTGCAAACGATGAGGAAGGCGGCACTCAAAGTCTTGTCCTGGCAGCTCCCAGCTCGCCGGAGGATCGGATCCAAGGTCTGGAAGAGAAGCAGCGTGCCTGTTGGAAGCATGTTGGCGAGGTCGGCCGATCCGCGGAGCGCGCTAGCGAGAGATCTAGAGATCAAGTCGTCAAACTCCTTGACATCTTCGTCTACGTGTTCTTGGCGATCTTCCGCTTTAGGAGGAGCGATGAGGAGGCTGGAACTTCCACTGGTTGCCGGAGCCGCCATGAGATCTCTCTGGAGCTGGATCTGGATTTCTTCGCTGGTTTAGAGCCGGGAGCTTTATAGACCCTCCGCCTGAGACTGGAAGCCGCCATCGCTGGTGGTGTGGCGTGGACGAGACGAGCGGGTCGTGCGTTGGGATGTCCATTCCAATCTTGGAGAGATGATGTTGTCATTGGCGTGCGAGAGACTCGTTGATCGATCGAGGGTCGTCACGCTTTTAGTTGTATGTAGCTTCACTCAAGAGCTCCATCTTGCGGCAACATGTGATTTCTAGAGCTTTTAGCGAAGAAATTTGTTTCTTACGAACACAAGACCGTACAACAAAAAAGCAACGGATATACTACGAATAATCACGCCGTACTACAGCTTACACTTTTTGTTTAATGTTAAATTAGGGTACAATGATTCCTTAAATTCCAAGAGGTAAAGGCGCGATGCCTTTTGTCCACTTAAATATCTAGAGCCCTAAAGTTTGGGGTTTCTGATTTTAGGGTTCTTGCCTACAACAGGTAACTAGGGTCGATCGATAGGAAGAATGCTAGCGTCTCCAGGGCACTCGCCGCGGCTCATCGTGCCCCCCTCTCCATCGCCGAGCGTCCAGAGCTTGGATGGAGTCGTGGCGACGACATCCGGTAGGGCGATCATGGGGCCGCCGCCGCCAGGGAAGCCCAGGAAGAGTTCTCACGCAGTGCTGGACGAGGACACATACGTCGCCGCGATCGAGAGGATCGTGGAGCGGGATTTCTTCCCGGACATCCCCAAGCTCCAGAACAAGCTCGAGTGGCTCGAGGCGGTGAGGAGCGGGGATCCGGTGCTGATGCGCGAGGCCCAGCTCAATATCATCCAGAGGCTACGGGGGATTGGGCCGTCCGGCAAGGATGGAACGCCCTTGTTCCACACAGGAACTTTCGCTACTCCAGGGTCGGTGATGCCAACGCCAGGGTTTGCTACTCCATCCACGACTGCTGGAGCTCCATCTTCGTCTTCGAGCTTGGTGGACGAGCAGGGGACGGTGATCAACACCTCGGTGTCTCTGGACGAGTTCATGCGGCGGTACACGAGCGAGGACAACGAGAGCTTCTCCAAGATCATCGAGAAGGTGAACAGGAGGCGGGAGGAGAAGTTTAAGTTCTTGGCGATCTCGTCGTCGTCGCAGCCGCTCCAGCTGACCGACAAGGATCGACAGACCGATGGCTATGGAACTTCCAACCAGCCGATCAGCACTCTGGATACCTGGAGCTACACGCCCAAGAACTTACTAATGTATGATTCGACTCAAAGGGACGACGCTCCGCTCACCGAGGCCGAGAAGGAAGAACGCCTCCACGGTCCGCCAAAGTCCGTCAACCTGCGTAGTACTCGCTTCCACGAGAAGATCTTCGACGCGAAACTCCCGGAGGAGGAGTCCTTCTCGATGCTCTACACTCCTGCTCACCACGGATCTTCCACGCCGCTCGACTCGGCCACGCGGAGGAGGTATGATCTCGAGGAGCTCCGCAAGACCCCACAGCTCGGAGACAACGCCAAGCCTCCGCCCAAGGCCGGGACGGCGGGATACAGCTACGTCTCGACGCCATCGCCAGCTCCAGGAGTGGACTCCTCGCCGTTCGTGACTTGGGGAGAGATCGAGGGGACTCCACTGAGGCTGGAGATGGAGGATACTCCGGTCGGGATTGGTGGCAGCGGCGATGGTCCTCACTTCAAGATCCCAGCGCCGCCAGTCCGGGACACTCGAGCTCACAGCCTCTCGAGGGAGGCGTCGAGGAACATCCGCGAGAGGACGAAGATCCGGCACGCTCCTTACAGCACTCCATCGCCAGCTCGAGGGGCGGCCATGGGGAGCCCGGGCAGGGGCTACTTCTCCGACGCGGCGCAGCGGCTTGTCAACAAAACCATCGCGAGGACGTGCGCGTCGGTGGATGCCAAGCTGCGGGCGAGCTATGGCGCGAGCACGACGCCGGGGACGCCGAGGATGGCCAGGAACGCGGTGAGGAACAGCAGGGAGGGAAGCTTGCCGCCCGAGAGCCCGCGCTTGATGCGCTCTCCATCTGTTGGGCGGTAGTACGGCATGATTGTTCGTAGGAGATGGGTTGTACGACATGATTATTCGTGGGATATTCTTATCTTTGAAAACTTATGTACGGCAAACGTTACATTTTGTACGGTAGGAACTATGAATCGCCATCTGGTTTGAAATGGGTTTAGGGCTCTCGGCGGGCGGGAAGCGATGGACTGCCCCGTTTGCGGGTGCGCGGTGGACGATGGCGATCTCGATCGGTAAGCGCAGGGCTTTTGGGATCTAGTAGATCCCAAGATCTCGCGAGTTAGCTTCGGTTGTAGGCGTTCATTCGATTTTTGGGGTATCAGGCATGTTAATGAGCACCTGGATCAGGAGCAGATCGAGAGGGACGAGGAGTTTGCCCGAGCGCAAGTGAGTGCGTCCTTGTCTCCCGCATTTTTTTGTTTTTCTTTGTGTTCTCCTCTACATTTTTTTTTTCTTTTCTCTCGCTAACGTTTCCAGTGTTTTAGGACCGCTTGTTTAATAGTGTGGTAGAATGGGAGAGCTCATTGTTTTCCTTGAATGCTCGTCAGTCGGTACACTTTGAGGTAACTTTGCTCGGAAAGAGAGAGTGCCAAGAGTGAGAAGAGCACTGTTCGTGAGTCGAATTGTTTTTCCAGTTTTCTGGCCAGTTTTGATTGAAACTTTCGACTCTGGCAGCTCGTCGGAAATCCTCTAGATACCGGTAGCAGTAGCCAGCAGCAGCAGCAACAGCAGGAACAGTTCGTTGCTGCTCGTCCATCCAGCTCTCGAGATGGTTGTCCGTGGGAGGTTCCGGCAGTCATAGCTTCGCAGGAAAGAGATAGTTTTGTTCCGGTTGAAGAAGGCTTCGTCGATCTTCTCCGCAAGTGCGTGGTGGCCGAGCAGCAAAGGCCCTCGGCCTACGCACTTACGAGTTTCATCGATCATTATCAGAGCACTAGCCATGATCTGGGATGGGGCTGCGGGTGGCGGAACATACAGATGCTTAGCTCTCATCTCCTCGCGAGAGATGAAGCCTACAGGAAAGCTTTGTTTGGAGGAGCCGGGTTTGTGCCGACGATAGCAGCTCTGCAGCAGTGGCTCGAGATCGCCTGGTCGAAAGGATTCGACTCGGATGGAGCCGAGCACTTCAACGGTGCCATATACGGTTCGCAGAAATGGATTGGAACGACAGAGTGCGCTGCGCTGCTGAGACTGTTTGGAGTTCGTGCTAGAATCGTCGACTTCAAGGCACTGACGAGAACGACCGGTGGTAAAGTTCCATCGAAGAGGGTTGCGAAGAGACCCGGGGCAAGGCAGCAAAACGACTCCGAGAGAGGTATAGTTCAGCACTGGAACGCTCACTGTGATTCTTGCGGGATGTATCCGATTCGTGGTCCGAGGTTCTCGAGCAGCAAGCAACAGGATTGTGATCTCTGCTTCGTGTGCTTTAAAAATCAGCCAGGACGGTCGCATGAGTTTGAGAGGATTGAAAAGCCATCGCCGAAGGCTTGTGGTGGTGACTTCGAGGATTATAATCACCAGCGGCTTGTGGACTGGGTGTGGAACTATTACACCGAGGAGGACAGGGACCATGTAGAGAATCGCCAGCCGCTGGTTATCATCTCCAGACGACCGTGAGTATTTCTTTGCGTGTTCTTTGATGAGAGTTTTCTCTGTGCTCATTTAAACTTTTCTCTGGCAGGCCTCTTTACTTTCAGCATCAGGGGCATTCTAGGACAATTGTGGGGATTCAAAGAAGAAGGAAGCTAGGCGGGCCGGAAGAAGCGTTCCTTTTAGTTCTTGATCCATCACAGGTAACTTTGCTATGCTTTGCTGTTTCGTTGATGATACGTCCTTTGGCAGCGGACAGAAGAACTCGTGAAAGCTTTACGAGCGAAAACTGGATGGCAAAAGCTTATAAAACGTGGAGTTCATACGCTCAAGAGAGCAGCTTATCAGGTACATACTGTTCTCTTCGGTGTTTTTGTGTGCGTATGTGTTTCGCTGGAATGATTTTTCTTGCTGCTTCAGGTTTGTCATATTGATCCAGGCATTGCGCAAGGCAAAGAGCTCGAAAACTTGAAGAACTTGTCAAGCACCAGTTATTTGTATTAGAACAAGTTTTGATCCAACGATTCTAGAATCCAACGGTCATGATTTTCGTGGATATACAAATTCCAACGGTTGTAATTTAAAGTAGATCTGACGGTCACGATTTTCGCGGTGAAAATCTTACGAAATGGAATCTATCTTCGCCTTCAAGCTGTCACTGCAAAGCCCTAGGGTTCTAGAGCTAGGATGAGCGAGGAGAGGAGAAATCCGACAAGGAAGCGCGCGAATTCTATCAAAGAATGCGATGCGAATGGGAATTCCAAGCGCCGGCCCAAGGGGGAAGAGAAGAAGGAAGGGATTTTCTGGGGAATTTGTGCCCTGTTTGTGGAGCGCGGAGTGAATGGCACGAGGCTGCAGGTATGTAGGATCGCTGTGCGCTGAGATAAACCCCGCGGGGTGCTGGTAGATTTGGAAGAAGAGATTTGAGAGCCTGGGGGGGACGATTGCCGATCCAAACAAGAAGCGAGTGTCACGAGACTTGAATTATGTCCTGGCTGTCGATAGGAAAGCTCTGGATGGGCTTCCAGACGCTGAAAATCTCGCCAAGGTAAGAACACTTTGTTCTTCTTTCTTCATTCATTCTCAAGACTCTCCTTTGTTTTCTTATTTTTCAGTTGTTTCTTCCATATGATTGGCTTCAAACATGTTTGACAGAAGGAATTCTCGTCTCCACCGAAAGCTATCAATCGTCTGTTGTTCTACGCGAGCCTGAGACAACCATTGTTGCTACGGCCGCTTTAGAACAGCAAGATCTAGCGAGGACTTGCCAGCTCCAAACTCCGGATGTCACAAATCCTGGAGAGGAGCATAAGACCATCTCGGAGATCACATCAACTTCGAGAGAAAGCTCTTCGTTTCTGGACAGGACACAAGATGGCACAAGCTTTCTCGTCAGGACAGAAGAAAACGCAACTATAACCGCTGGAACTTCCGTTGCTGCGGACGATCAAGAGGAGCCTGTCGAAGAGGAGGATGCGAGCTCGGACGAGGATGAAAACATGAACTTCAAGGAGAAGTTAAGGCGGAAGCAGACCTTCTACGGCAAGCAAGAGAATCCAAATCTCAACGAGCATTTGACGAATCCGCTGGCTGAGATGTGGCACCTCTACGAGGACGTTTTGGGAGACCAGTGGAGATCCCTGATATACAGAAAGGTAATGGATACTCTTGCTTTTCTAGTTGTACTAAATCTTGGCTTTGTAGACTGTGAATAAGCTGCGAAGTTTGCCATACAAAGTGACGAGTGTCGAGCAGATTAGAGAAATGTATGGGGTGGGAAAATCCCTTGTAAAAATGGTGAAGGAGATTCTGGGAACTGGACAACTTCAAAAGCTTGACAATCTGAAAGCGCAGGTTTTTCTTCCGACATTTCTTACTTGTGGTGAAGCTGGATGATGATGATGTTCAGGTTGGCGAAATACAAGTTCTTGGCTCAGTGTGGGGTATCGGAGCAATTCAGGCACGAGAGCTGTATAAGAAAGGATTTCGCACTGTCAAAGACCTGGAGAATTACTCGTCCCTGACTTCTATGCAGCGCATGGGCGTCAAGTATTATGACGATATTAATTTGCGAATCCCTCGAGACGAAGTGGTGGACACCGAGAAGTTCGTGCGAGGTGTTGTTGAAACTCTTGCTCCAGGGGTAAGCTTTTACACATTTCTCCTCTTGCTTACCAGTGCGTCATTCTTGTAGGCTTGGGTAAATGCAGCAGGTTCTTATCGAAGAGGCAAGCCTACTTGTGGCGACGTTGATATTCTAATCACTCATCCCGATGGTTCCAGGTTTACGAGTTTGCCATGTTTTACACACTCCTCTCACTCACATTTGCTATGCAGCCATCAGGATCTTCTGGCGAGACTCGTCCAAGAACTGCGCAGAATCGAGTTTATCGTAGATGGTCTTCGCGTCGATGCAAATGCTCGAAAGGTAAACTCAGCTTTTTCTTTTCTTTAGTGTGCTTCATGTGATTCGAACAGGGAGGTACTCAACCCGATATGTTTATGGGGATTTTTCACTTTCAATGCAAAGCTTATCGAAGAATAGACATAAAAGTAAGCTTTCGCTTTGTTTCTCCGATGCTATGTCGTGCTCGTTCAGGTTTATCCAAGGCATGTGTACGCTTTTGCACTACTCGCCTTTACTGGGAACGATGTTCTCAACAGAAAGTAAGTTCCATCGTTTGATACCATTTCCATGCTTTGTTAACTGAAACACTGTCGAGCAGGATTCGATTTTTGGCTCGGGTAAAGTTTGGATACAAGCTGAGCGATCAAGGACTCTTCATACGCGAAAGCAAGAAGAAAGATGTATGGTTGTTCTTTCTCTTTTATCTTGCTCTAACCTTATGTCTTTGCAGTCTAAAGCAAGTACGGAATCCATTCCTTGTGAGACAGAGCGGGAGATTTTTGAGAAGCTTGGTTTGGATTATCCAGAACCTCATGACCGCAATTGGTAATGTATATACATATTTGTGATTCTTTTTTCCTTAGACAACATCTCATAGCTTCGAATATTTCTTTAGACACCGTTCGGCTATAAAATGTCATTTAGGTGCTGGTAGATACTAGTTCTCGTTGTCCTTGGGGTCAATGCCTGTACATGTAAAATTGAAAGAAGGTTTAGACATTCAAGCAAGCAACGGCCAACTTCCATCTCCTGGGCATCCGATGTCAAGGTGATATGCTCTTCTCATCATGAGATCCAGATGACATGTCTTGCCACCTTCCAACAAGTAGGCGTCACAACCCTTAACCTTTGGTTGTATATTCAATGTGATATATCAAACATATCATCTTTTGCCCATCCATTGTTGCTCCCATCCCACACATCACACATCAGTAGCTCTCGTAGAAATTTGGACCCCTCCGTCACTTATGCTTGGCACTACTAAGTGAAGTTCCAGCCAGATGAGAAGCAGGAGACGATCACAGACATTTAGTCAACTAAACATAATAATGATAATTTTTTTGGCTTATAACTATTATAAATGAGATTTAAAGTTAAAGTTTAATATTTTTTAAGTTGATAGTCACAAATAATGACTACTAATAACACTTATCAATGAAAAATAATAACAAGCTTAATGACAGAAAATTAAATTGTATAAACCAACTTAAAAGCAATAACTTAAAAAATTGTTATGTGTTGCATGTGGCAACACTTGGTTTGCTGTGTTATTCTTACTTATATCAAATGGTTTATAATTATAAGAAAATTTATAAACACAAAATTAATCTTATTTCATATCAACCATGATGATAAAATAAAAAAGAATATACTAAAAAGGGTTTAATAAAGTTTATAAATTATAAACATATTTATAAATTATAAATACAAGATTAATCTAATTGAATAATAACCAAACCAAAAACCTAAAGGCGCTAGACAACAGCAGGGGTGGGATTGTCCACCCCCCACTCTGATGTAGTAGTGTGGGATCCATCGCTCTATTCATGGTCTCCACTTTAGCCATCGCTAAGGAGTTTCTCAAGCATGGAATTTGCCTATGTGGTCTCTATTGTCATGAATTACAGGAGCATGTCTTTCTCGCCTACTGGAAGAAGGTGAGGAAGCTTTGCACAACTGAGCTCTTCACGGCCAAGAGGGTGAGTATGAACATGCAGATCATCCGGACGAGCTGTGGGAGTCGTGAGCTCTTCAGAGCTTCCAAGGCTGAGAGTGAGACCACACTGTCCAAGGCCTCAGGTGATCTTGCCATTGCAAAGGAGACCTCGAATTTCATAACGATGATTGATGAAATCCTTGACGAGGGAGTGGCGTTCTTGATCACAACCTATTTATCCTGACTTGGTTGCTGTGGGGATAACATGAAGGTTTTGGATGACCGGTAAGGTTCTTTATTTCATGGAGATCAGTCTCACATTGGAAACAATGCAGTCAACCTTGAAAACCTCTGCTCGTGGTGCTTTACGTTAACTTGTAACTATGATGGTTTTCTCTATGGAACTTACTTGATTCTTGATAGGATCTACTATTGGACATACCAAAGAGGGAGACATATCCAAGGTTGAGGGTTTGAATGCAATCATCAAGAAAATTTCATTTCCACCCTCCCATTCTTTTATTGCATGCATCAACACTTGGTTTACTTAATAGTAGCATTATTTCTATTTATTAATTAATTTGATCAAATGGATGTTTATAATTTATAAACACAAGATTAATATTGCATATGAACCATTAGATGGTAAAATTAAAATATACTAGGAAGTGTTTAGGAAAGTTTATAAATTATTAATACAAGATTAAATAATAACCTTTAAATGATAGAATATCCTAGAATATCCAAGCATATTTTAGATATATTCACTACCACCCGAGTGCTTAAGAAAAAACAAAATAGTAACAAGTTTGTGTACACATTCTTTTTATCATTATATAAAATAAAATAAATTATAATCACTTTATTTTTTTTCATTTTAGTTTTCTCTATATGTTATCATACTCTTCAAGAATTTAAGCACTCATATTTTTATCTATGTACACAGAGAGAGCCATTGCCTCCAATGGATATTCTGAATTCTATGGTTTAAGACTATATCTAAATTAAATATAAAAGATTTTTACTCCCTGAAAAGATTAGTTTTATTTTTATATAATTTAGAATTTTTATGGTAAAAATCTATAAATACTACTATAGATATTTACAATCCAGCTTAAAACATTCTTTTCAAAATAAGCTTAAAATTTTCTATTAGAGAAATAAATGTTATTGATAATATCTAGAATTATATTTTTTGTTATTTCTGGCATTCTTTCATTCTTTTGACTACTATAGTGATGCAATAAACTAATAATTTGTAATACCCTCTGCAACTACTTAAACAGAACATAGAAAAAAATTTCCTTCCTATTACCTTTTCTTTCCTATATTCTCTATATATTAGCCTAAACTTATAGCTTTATCTTTGTATAATATTTTTATATCAAAATATGATGATTATTTTACAATTGTATATGAGCAAGTTTATGGTTATCACCAATTACACTATAAAGTTTGATTTCACATGTATAGTATGTAAACAACAAAATTTTTCATTCTACTTTAATCTTTTAATTACACTTTCAACAACTTAAAGGAATTTCATTTACAATTTCTATAGGTCTTCATCCTAACTTGGGGTACTTATTAACACCCTAAAGGCTTCAAGACTTCATATTGGGTCCAAATACTTTATGTATTTGAATCCCACTTCCAACACCTAAAGCCTCTTGCATTAGAACCATATTCATTCTTATTGTCTTATTAAGAGTCAAAAACCACTCATACTATAATTTTATTTCTCTAAGATTATATCATTTATTTATAAATGGTTATTAATCACTCTTTACCATCTTTAAATTGCCTTAAGATATAAGGAACACCATCCCCTAATATCCTTTTGTTAATTCCCACCAAATCCTTTGATCATGGTAATATTTGCCAATACCACCACTAGGTCAAGGTTTAATCCCTACCTTCCACCACTAAGGTGTGGAAGGAAAGTTTTGCTCCAAAGTGTCATAAAGAATGATTAATAAAAGTGGTGGTTAGTATCTATTAGCTACTTCATTTAGTCATAGGCCCTTTCTTCTTCCTTCTAATAGGTTCAAGTAACAACAATTTATAAAATTTACTCCTAGCAAAATAAATAGTGTAGGTTATTGCTTCCACTATGGAAAGGCAAGAAATAGGTTTTTAGAATGTCTCAACAAGCATAAGGTAAAATTTCACATTAATGTCATAAAGGAAGATAGTGTTGGTGAGGTTAAAGGGGTTCATAAATTGGTTAATGGAGACTATAAAGAAGAAAAAGTGAATTATTCTCTTCAAGATTTATGCAATCACTAATCCATTAATGTATCTTATAGACTTTGTCTTTAGATACTGAGTCTAAGTGATGATTGATATAAAAATTGCATATAGCATGATATCCAAAGACTTAATTAAGTTGTTAGAATTAAAAGTTGAGCAAATATTGTTTATACACTTTTAATTTTCAAAAGATAGGCAAATAATTAAGAAATTTATAAATGATATACAAATAAAGATATATCTAAGTGGAAAGAAAGATTATACTTGGTAGTGTTAAAGATACCAAACTTTTAGATAATGTTTGGTATAGATTTGTTCAATAAGTATATTCAAAGGATATATAGTGCTAGATAAAGTCATATCACATTGTGGTAAGAAGGTCAACTTAATATATCTTTTCAATTGTAAAGTATTTTTTGAGGGATTAGGATATTATGTTCCTAACTGCAATAACAATTAAGAAGGAACATTAAATATTTTGGGTTTAAGTGATGGAGGTTGAGGGTGATGTTTGTTTAAATTTGAATAGATGATAGTGATGATCCTTTACTAAGGGAAGTTATGGAGTTGTTAGTGTGGAATTTAGATAAGTGTTTTCTCTCCATCATCAAAGATGCTTTTGAAAGTTATGAAAGTGCATCCACCATCAAGGAATAGTATATAGTTTCATTGAGAGAGTGGATGCTTGTGGAACATCTCGGAAGATACAATGCACTGCTTGAAAGTAAATATCATTAAATATAATAATTATACTGATTAGTTTTTATAAATATAATAATTATAGATGTGTTTAAGTTTTGTTTTTCCTCTTATAGCTTTTTCAAAACTGATATAACTGATAAATTCTGTTAAAATACTATTTACATTAAATGCTTATAAAAATTTAGCATAATTTTATTTATAATCAAGCTTATCATTAATACAAACTATATTTAGATTTATAAGGCATAACATTTTTTAGAATCAGAAATCTTAGTTATAGCTATACTGCATAACCATAGCCTTGACCATTAGAAGCTAGAAAAGAAAAAAGCAAAAATAGATAAGGAGGTGCCATGCTCTAGGGGACAATTAGCAAAGTTATAGATCCTTGTATTATTGCTTGCAATCCTCTATAAGCATTTCTTAGGTGTCCACTAGTAAGAAAAAGTTGTAAGGCTAATATATTGTCAAGATTTATATACTATACTAGAATTGTTAGATTGGTTATTACTGTTATTAATAATAATGGCAATTATTTTTAGCTAACACACCCAGCAATCCTTTGCCTAAGCCCCAACTTATCAATAAATCTATCACAACTAGAGCTTGAGCCTGGCTTATGCTTGATCTTAGTGCTTGAGTTTGAATATGGCATCAAATGCTGCTATGTAATGCATATGAATTTAAAATTAGTCTATTGCACTCCAAAATAAAGGTCTCACCTTTACAAACATCAGCTCCTTATATCCAGCTCTAATACACAAAATAGTGTCAAACAAAGTTTAACACAATTTTAATATACCAATGATTTAGTGCAAACAAGCAGATACCCCACTGACTTAACATGGAACTTAAGTTTAGACCCAATTTGAATGCAAAATAAGGAATGACACACATTTCACTAAATATTAGAACATTGTTGATATATAGAACAACAAATAAATCTTTTCTATAATGATATATAATCATGAATTCATAGGATCCATAATAAGTCCTAAAGGTTGTCTTCTTTAGATCTTGATCTGCCACCCATATCTAATGATACTTGGTTGCAAATCAAGTTGTATAAAATACTTAACCTTTAAAATTTCATCAAATATGTCATCAATATGAGGCAATTGATAATTGTTTTTTATTGTAAGTTTGTAGAGACCATGATAATCATTCATAGTACCATCTTTTTTCATAACAAAAAGGACTAACACTCTAAAATATGACTTACTTAGTTAAATATGACTTTATCAAGAACTTTTATGAATTGCTTCTCCTTGATGTTCAAACAATATAAAACCGGCTTAGAACTTGAAACAATCTCAATTTAATAATCAACCTCACAATTAGTTGGTAGCTTTGATGGTAAATCTGTTAGGAAGATGTCTTTCAAACTTTTCATCTATGACCCTATCAACAGTGATTCATTCCACTCGAGTTGGACATTGTTTCATGGCCTCACACGTTTTGTGGAATTGGTTCATCTTCATTCGCAAGCCATGATATAGCCTTGAGGCTCTCTCCATTTCATTCAGCAGTATCCCTGTGATGCAAGAAAAGATTTACCTTGACAAGGTAATGCTTCATCAGCTCTTCTTCTGCCTTCTTGCCTTCCTCCATCTTCCTTCTCCGTGAGAGTGCATGAAACTCCTGTTAGTGCTTCCCTCCCAATACCAATAATCTGAGAATTTACTTAGAGGCTCCCAAGTAATTACATAATGCCAGTATGAGAAACGAAAGACATTCGTGCACACTAAAACCAGGGCATCTCGAGCTACTTTGCCACCACTCTTGCAAAATGGTCCATCTAGCATCTCCCCACGAAATAGGATGCCTTCCTCCCTGGATGAAAACCTAGAACTAAAAAACAATGGAAGAAATACCATCCAGCTCGATTGGGATCCAAAAGCTGCAATGGCTCAGAGGGAGGACATCCTTCTTCTCACTGAGAAAGTACCATGTGCTCCCTGGTGGCCCTCTATCTCGTTTCCAGCAATACCACTGTTGATGTTATTGTTTTTATTGCATGACTCAATGTTAAACAAAATCTTTGCCGGTTTACTTTTACACTTCACTAATAGCCAATCTGGCATGGCGTTTTGGACGAGATTCTCGCTGCTCGAAGTGCGAGATCAACCCATCTAGAACCCGTCCTCCTAACTCTTAAATCCTGATCGCCTCGCCCCTTGACACCAAACCGCGTCTCGCTCTGGATCGTTCAAGAAGCCGAGTTCACTCGGTGGTGGATGAAAAGATGCAGAAACCTCTCTTGGAACCTCGGGCTCCCTCGCGATTGTTCTAAACGTTTCTGAGGTACTATGAAAGAGCAAATGATTTATCAACCAGTTTGGTTCAAGAACTCGGAGTAGTTCAACAAACATAACTTTTATGAACGTCTAATGCCACGAACATGCATCACATTTTACTGAGTACAAGCGGCACTCCATGGATAGGCTTCAAGCCAAACTTCATCGCAGGATTATGGTGGTAGTTCGGTGAAGCCGGAACACTGTAGTATCATAGCCAGAATGACTTTGGCTTCGATCATCGCAAACGGCTGGCCCACGCACACCCGCTGCCCAAACGAAAACGGCATGAAAGCATTTGGATGCTTGCACGCGCTTGAGAACCCATCTTTGAAGCGATCCGGATTGAATTGGCCTGCATCTTCTCCCCAGAGCTCCTTATCCTGATGCAATCCAGTGATTGGAAACGACACAGATACTCCTTTTGGAACGTGTAAATCTTGCAGCCAAGACTCCTCCACACACTCCCTGATCACCTCAATTGCTGGTGGATACAGCCGCAGAGTTTCGTAAAGGATCATTCCCACCTGTTCAAGAATCAAGATGTTAAGTTTTGGAATTAGGAGATATTGATTGACTTACGAGCTTGAGCCTGCTGACACTCTCGCCATCAGGAATCTCACACATACTTCGTGTACCTCAGCACGGGCGCGTTCTTGCCATTCAGGATAGCCTCCCAGTAGCATCAAAGTCCAGGTTAGTAAGGTGGCTGTGGTCTCATGGCCCGCAAGGTAGAACGTCTTGCATTCCTCTATCAGATCCCTGCTTGTGAAATTACTGCTGCTGTCACACTCCTTCAGCATCAGTCCGAGTAAGTCATTCCCGTATGTATTGCTTTCCCCTGACTTCACTGAGTTCCGACGCTCGTCTATGATCCCAGTGATCAGAGAATCCAACTCCTGATGAAGCTTCCACAGTCGGAGGTTGATTGGAAGTGGGAGAAACCTGTAAGCAAGTGATTATGATTCAGTTCAATAGATGATAGCAGAGATCCCAGCATACCTGAAGCCTGGAATCCAGGAAAAGCTGACGAGTTTGGGCAGTAGCTCTGGGATTTTCTTAGACAATATCTCGAAAACTCTCTTCCCTTTGAGATAGCTAGTTCCAAATGCTGTATGGGAGATAACGTCTCCTGTGAGCTTACGCACCTCTCCAGAGATTTCAATCTCGGGATTCTAGCTTCACATTGATCAAGCATGCGAGATGCGCACCCTGCGATTGCACCGGTCATTTGCTGTGTACAGGAGAATCAGAAACACTTATCAGCCAGATTTCATGAGAAGATAATAGTATGAATACCCACTTTAATACGTTCATGAAAGAATGCCGGTGCTACGAGTCGGCGGTCATGACTCCATTCCTCTCCAGTAACAGAAACTAATCCACGATCAAGGAACAAGTTCGCCAACCGCAGCCCGGCCTCCGATTTATCAAACTGAGAAAACTTCTTAGACAAAACCTCCCTTACGATCTCGAGACCGATATCCTTGGCTCAGTTCCCCACCAGAGCACAAATCTTCTCCCTGGACCATGCTCATCAGGAACGAAGCTTTGATATTCATCAGAGATGACAAGAACATACCATATTGCTTCCGCCATTTGAGCAACGCAGGATGTACCCGATGGAAAATGTCGTGGCTGAAACTTTCCATGTCGTGATCCTTGATGGCGCTCCTCGTGTTCTGGATTTCAGCTATTTGGCCTACCATGAATCGGGATGGAGGCCCCTGAATGCCCCCTTTTTCAGCTGCGCCGTGTACCAATGATCATAGCACTTATAGTAAACAAGGTGTTCAGAAACTATGAATCTGATAAATCAATTTAGAATTGCATGATGAAATTTTTGCTAGATTTCTTTGTCAAATTCTAATCGAGCTCAGACACCCCAAGACCCGGAGCTTAGGCACCTGACCCCGTGCTCGAGCTCGGGAACCCGGACCCAGTCGATGCATGCTCTGAAAGCAGTAGAGACGCACAACCATATTATTTATCCTAGTAATTAATTATTAGGATTAATTACTTATGGATGGTTCTAATCTTATCTATATAAAGAGACAAAATAAATGAATACGTTCCCCCACTGCGTCATTTTGTCCAGCTTCAGAGACGTATCAGCAGGAAGATCCAAATCGTTCACGGCTTGTTTATGCACGGATCTCTTCCTCCAAACAGTCAGCTTTGATGATTTTTAAGCTGCTGTCATATGATGCCAAATGATGGACTTGCGATTCTTGATTTAGGAGCCTAAAGTTCGCAAGAAACTTGCAGTGCAATACATCACCTTGGAAACTCGACAGGATAAAGCCCACGACTTCCAGGCTTTGAAGGCTTAGCAAAAGATATGGGAACCTGACAGAAAATTACACCAACACTCGAAGGGATCTTGTTAAGAGGCTCAGGTTTCACAGGTATGCTCGTCGATTCTTCTATGTTGGTGATTTTATACGTCCGCAATGGTGTGGCAAACGGAACTGGATGTCTTGTTAAGCTTTGTGGATCTGGCTGTAAGCTAAGTAAGGCCTATTATCACTGGAAGCTTGCTAAAATCAAGTGGCTACAAAAAAAAAAAGAACATAAACACAAAGTTAGAAGGTACACTAACACGCACGGTCTCTTACAAGTGAACTGCCGATGTCAAGTTATCAAGGTTAATTTTTTGAGAGTTTCCAGATGACACAGGCAGTGGGCCAGCGATTTGATTTTGTGCCAGATCAAACGTTTATTTTATTTAGATTGGTGTGAATATCTTGATGGCTTTCTGTTCTGCCATCGTGCTCGAAACCTCGGCGATATTAAAATCTGAAACTGAGACTTCTCTAATAATTATTGACGAACTCGGCCGGGGTACCTCAACTTACAATGGATTTGGTTCGAGTTTGCTAACTGCAAGGTTTTCTGGTGCTCTCTAACGCTCTGTAAACAATGGCAGGCCTGCCTTGGGCAATGTGTGAGTACATACTGGATGTGACTAGAGCGCCAATCAAGTCTCAAGGCTGCCTTGAAACTGGTTTAAAGAGTTAAAGATTTTCAAAGATCGATCACGTGAATTTTGATCGATGCTTGCTATTCAACATTGGAAAGGAAGTTAACGAAGATACTTTGCCAGCGGTATACAAAAGGAGGGCTTCAACAATTGAGGGGCAGAAAGTAGCAATGCTCTGGGCAGTCGTGCTCTTCCTCATCACAGCTTTCATTCTCAAGCAATGGCTCTCCAGCAAATCTCTCAATCTTCCGCCGGGCCCAAGGGGATTGCCACTCATCGGCCACTTCCATCTCCTGGGCAGGCTCCCACACATCTCACTCCAGCAGCTCTCCAAGAAATTTGGCCCGCTCTTCCACTTACGCCTGGGATCCGTCCCTGTGTTCGTGGTCGCCAGTCCAGCAATGGCCAAGGAGTTTCTCAAGAACAACGACACGGAATTCGCGTATAGGCCTCGAAACAATGTGGCCTGCATTGTCGTGAATTGCAAGAGCTTATCTTTCTCGCCGTATGGAGACTACTGGAAGAAGCTGAGGAAGCTCTGCGCCACGGAGCTCTTCACGGCTAAGAGGGTGAGCATGAACACGCACATCATCCGGGACGAGCTGTGGGAGCTCAGTCGCGAGTTCTTGAGAGCTTCTAATGCTGGCCAAGTTGTGGAAGTGAGATCACATTTGAGGGCGCTCAGCTTCAACGTTATGACTCGCATCCTGATGAAGAAGATTTACTTTGGATCCAAGGCCTCGGGCGATCCCGCCATTGCGAAGGAGGCCTCGAATTTCATAGCGATGATTGATGAGAACCTCGAGGTGGCAGCAGCATTCTCGATCACTGACTATTTCCCCTACTTGAGCTGGCTCGACTTGGTCGCCCGCCGTGCAAAGATGGCCGGGGATAAGATGAATGGCTTCTTGCAAAAGGTTTTGGACGAGCAACACCCGGGCGAGGTTCCCGATTTCGTGGAGATCACAAAGAATCACATTGGAAACGATGTGGTCAATCTCAGAGCTGTGCTCATGGTAAGTTTGGTTTTCTCCGTGGAACTTGCTTGATTCTTTTGTGATCTTGATAGGATCTATTGCTTGGTGGATCTGAAACATCATCCACAGTGACCGAATGGACTCTAGCGGAACTTCTTCATCATCCAGATTGGATGGTCAAAGCTCAGCAAGAGATTGAGAGTGTTGTTGGACGCACACGCATGGTCGAAGAGGGAGACATATCCAAGCTCGAGGTTTTGAATGCCATCATCAAGGAAAGCTTTCGTCTCCACCCTCCCATTTCTTTGCTCGTACCACACGCATCCATTGAGGCCCAGAAAGTTGCTGGCTATGACATCCCCAAGAACACAACGCTGCTTGTGAACGTCTACGCAATTGGAAGAGACCCTCAAGTCTGGAGTGATCCTCTGGAGTTCCAACCTCAGAGATTCATTGGCAGCAACATCGGTGTCAACGGCCAAGACTTTGAGCTACTTCCATTCGGATCTGGAAAGCGGTCTTGCCCAGGGCTTGCTCTGGGTCTTAGGAACGTCCAGCTTGTTCTTTCCAATCTTCTTCATGGATTCGAGTGGGAGTTTCCTGGCAGTCCGAAAGATCAGCCCATGGGTGAAGCTATGGGTATTGTAAACTTCATGGCACACACTCTCAAAGCCAGGATCACTCCCAGGCTCCACGAAAGTGCGTACACCACTCTCCAGTTGACTGAATAGCGTTATAAATTAATGCTACGATGTTAGCATATATTCATATATAAAATGGTAGAATATGCATTGACTTTGCACCTAAAAGTCTTTTGGTATATTCTACTCAATATAGATTTCATAACCTATGGCGGGAAATTTCTTAACCTAAGGGCGGGAGCGATGGTCGCGCCGGCGGTGGATTTGCTGCGGAATCCACTGGGCGCCGTGCGAGGCCTCTTCTCCATTGCAGCCATGGCCGCTTCTCCTGCTCCAGCCGCAACTTTGGAGCTCTCGGGGGGCGACTGGGGCGTCAAGGGAGTCTTCGACAAGTTTTTGTACGAAGAAGGCGCCATTGCTCAGGTTTGCTTTCTTCTTTTTACTTCTTAGCCGGGCTGGAATTGAATGCCGCTGCTAGGTTCCTCACATTGGCGATTTGGCGCGTGATTCTATTCCTTCTGGGTCGCTGGTTCGCTTCCGGGGAATGGTACATTTTTCCGAAAAAATTTGTTTGCAAACTTTTTATCTATGTTTCTTACAGATCCAAGATATGTTCGATGTGGAATACTATGTTGGCGCTTACAAGGTATTGCTCTTTCTCTTGAGTTTTTTGTTTTTCAAGGTCCTCTATCGTGATTTATGTTACAGGATTGCAATACTTGGCAAACAAACAAGTACACCGACAGCCCAGTTCCGCAAGATACCGAGCAGCAAATCTGGGATCGACGGCTGCTTTATTGCGTTCCAGTAAGTTTTCACTTTCTCAGGGTTTTCAACTTTTCTTCGAGTGTTTGTAGATTCCTGGTGAAAATCAATGGATGAAAAATAGATGGCATTCAAATGCTGTACAACCGGATGCAACTAGCCAGAGCTTGAAGCGCAAACGGGAGGATGTTCCAGCGACTGTGGAGGTGAAAGCTTTTTATGCGTTTAAATGGATATTCTTACCATATTTTTCTTTTTGCAGAGCATGGACTGTGACTCTCCAACGAAAGAGCAGAACTCGTGCCTCGTCAAAGTCGAGAATTCCGTTTTTTTTTTTCTGAGACTTAACCACTGCCTTTTTTTCTGCCAGATTTACGATGGAAACGATGCGGACTTGAAGTTGAATGACATCGCAGAGTTTGTTGGTATCGTATGGAAAGAATCGGAACTGGTTTCTAGCTCGGCTTCTGATTCATCAGCGCTGGCTGAATCCTTGATGGAAGATGACACCTCCTTGCAGTTACCGTCCAGCACGGTAAGAAGCTCATTTCCATTACCTCTCTGACTTTGATATCTCAAGGTTCCTCGACTTCACTGTATTACCATGAGAAAACTTTCAGCTTACAGTATTCCTAGTCAGCCGGGTGCTTTGGCGGATATATGCTCCGTGAGGGAATCTCTTCTTTGTAAATTACAATCTGTTCTCGGTGAGGACAGACTCGCCGCGGAATATTTACTCTTGCATCTTCTGTCAAAGGTATGCACAATTCTCGTCGTTTTTTACTTGGTGTTATTCTGACTGTGATGCTCAGGTTTATAGCCGTGTAGAGCCCTTGGCTGTTGGGAAGTTTTCTCTCAACTTTAGCGGGTGTCAAGCTGGTGCCGATGGTTCCGCATCACTCGTTGCCTCTGCAGTCGGGCACGCGATATCAGTACTTCTTCCCTGTTCACAAGTAGTGCCGCTGTCACTCCAGGACTTGAACTCCTGTCTGATCGCTCCACGAAAAGATTATGCCACCAATCGGTACGCTTCTTTCATTTTCTCTTTTCATTCCGGTCTCACTTGCTATAGTTTCACGTATAGATTGGTTACCGGTGGTTTACAACTAGCAAGCGGCACGCATCTTACGTTAGACGAGACTGCTTTAAACACAGGAAGGCTGAACGAAACCGGTGTCAAGAATTTGCAGAGCTTGAAGAGCGTCATGGAGTCTCAGAAAGTAAGTCTTGTCTTGCTCATCTCTTACGTGGTATGCTGATGTTTTCGTTCGTTTCAAAAGGTCGACTACGATTTCCAGTATTATCAGATGGAAATGCCGACAGATTTGCCCGTGTTGGTGGTTTCTTGCGGCAAATCGAGGATTTTACCAGCTGATGCGCTCGTACCTTTAAGGTGCAGCGCGGAAGCGGCACGTATCCATGCAGAAGCATCGGACTTGTCGAAATGGCGTATTTATTTGAGCAGTGCGCGGGAGGCCGACCACGTTATCGAGCCTTCAATGCAGAAGGTATTCTTTTCTCCAGTGTCTTTCTCCTTCCCGAGTTCTAACTGTTGGCTGCCAGATTCTGGAGGAAGATCTTGTGGCCGCACGCCAGAAGGATAGAACTGTAGGATCTGAAACGTTTCACAGGTATAGCGCTCCTTACTCCGAGTCGAGAGTAACAAAATCCTTGTTTCTCTTTGTGCGTAGATGGTTAACAATGGCTCGCCTGTTATCCTTGAGCTATGGCGAACGAAGCTTGACGAGGGAGAGATGGGAGATGACGAAGGAACTCGAAATGAGGTGTGCCGCGAGATTAAGAGAAACTACAGCGTAACAATTCCTAAGAATGGACCTTTGTGGAGTTCAAATGATCATCATTAACATCCTTCTGGAGCTCAATTAGATAAAAAAGAAAAAGATAGAACCTTTTATCTTTACCATTTAAAATTTAGGTTTTCGAGTTTAGTTAGCAGTAACCTTTTCCTTTTCCCTCTTCTATATAAACAAGTTTATGCATAGGTTTTGCCACAAAGGTTTTTGGCGAGATGAGGATTTTAGTGTTCGTGCTTGCGATCTTGGCTCTCTGCGCGTGCGTGTTTGGAAGGTCAATTCCTCAGCTTAGGACCATCTATATGGGAGATTCAATCTTTGATGTAGGAACTAACAAATACATGAAAAACTCAGTTTCGCGTTGTGACTTTGTTCCGTATGGGGAAACACGGTATACCAAACCATCTGGGAGGTGCAGTGATGGATTCATCATCCCAGATCTGATAAACAAGGCCTTGGGTTTGCCCTTTTCCAAGCCATTCCTGGGTTTGAAAGCTGAGAGCCAAGTTTTTCCTAGTATCAACTTTGCATCTGATGGTAGTGGATTATTCGACTCGACTCATTCGGACTGGGGTGTCGTGTCATTTAGTGAGCAGCTAAAACAACTCAGGGAATTCTCCATGAAGATCTCCAAGAAGAATCTCAATGACTTTGTTGTTGTGATCTCTTCTGGTGGAAATGATATCGCAGCAAATCTTCAAAACATTATGGATGTGGACTTGGAAGGGATGTTGCTGTCATTAGAGAAAGGTTTGCAACAACTTTACGAATATGGTTTTAGGAAGATCATCTATTCAAGTGTTGGGCCGCTAGGATGCTCACCTATTGTTACTTCAGGAGGAAATTGCGTGAATGAAATCAATAATTTGGTAGAGCAATTCAACACACAGGCTCGGGGGATTGTTCTAAGGGCAGAAGAAAGATTACCAGGGATGAGAAGTGCATTCGTAGATGGTTACTCACCAATTAAATCTTTTGTGGAGAACCCAATCCAATTTGGATTCAAGAACGCAGGAGGTTGTTGCCCTAATTGCCTCTCACATAAAAATACATTGAGCGGTCTGTGCAAGAATCCAAGTGATTATGTCTTTTGGGATATGATACATCCCACAGAGCACACATACACTCTCATTGCTAAGGAATTCATAGAGCAGATCAAAAGAGTGTTATAAAATTAACAAAACGAAAATGTTTTGTTATTCCTGTTTAAAAATCACAAGACATACTATTACTATATAATTTTTATTTTATTTTTTATATTTGAATAAAAATAATTCAACTTTTCCTTCAGTTTATGTAAAGTTTCATGTTAGGAATTGTGGTTGTTTCCTTCTGCCCCCAGAGTTCGATCTCCACTTCCGCGGAAAGAAACGGATGATCGATTGGATGCTGCATCTTGTTGAACGCGTGGGACTCCAAGGTACTACAGATGCTTGACTTGGATGACAATCCAACTATTGAGTCCATTCAGGATTCGCAAGACTCAAAGATCATCGAGCAAGAATGCTTCAGGGACATGTGGAAGCTCAAGGTGGAGCCTTTCCCGGTGTGAGGGAAGACAGGCTGCTTGGGTGCTTGGGAACCTGGTTTCCTCCTCTACGTTCTGGCGCTGCTGTTCAAGGAAAAGCAGAAGGTACTGCTGCTGACCAGAGGGGGATCTCTCTATTACTTCCTGCCGGATGGTAATGGAAGCTACAGAGTCTTGCAAGACTTTCAGGACGTATATGGAAGTGGAACTTGAGGTAGATCCGGATATATGTTTCTTGGCAGACGTGGAGCTGAAAAACGTCCCTCTTTTCATCAGCAAGGCACTCTTGGTAAGCAGCCCAACGAGAGAAAACTACAAGGACTACCGAAAGGACACAAAATGCAGGACTTTCTATCTCCCTGTGTGGTTGAGCAATGAGCTGAGCCCTCTCCAGAAAGAAGTCCTCCCGGACAAAGATCTGGAGGCCTCAAGACACAGGTACTGGCACTAGGGAGGCAATCCGAGAGAAGTCTTCCGTCACTGGAACCTTGGAGTCCATCACCAATTGGGTGGGAGACATGATACTGAGGAGCTACTATACAGGATGTTTCACACGAGTGCCTCCAGTACATCAGTGTCTCTAGTACGTGTCTCCGGTTACAAGACGGCCAGAGGCGGCTGATCTTCAGGAAACTGCATGGGCATTACGTGCCAGAGACACGGCTTTGAAGATCTGAAGACTGGAGTGGTGAGAGAACATTTCAGGCAGACATAGGACCTGTCATCGGAAGATCAAGATTCGTGAGGTGTTTGCAGGCAAGGGTGGCTCAGCTTGTGAAGAAAGGTTGTGTCCGGCATTTGATCCACTTTCAGGTCGTCCAGATACCATGCCTTGCTCAACCTGGCGAAGTCGAAGAATTCTGGATACCATGCGCTAGAGAATCCCATTGACACTGGATGTACACAGAATGAAAGGTAGGTTTTCCATCTCGTCCAACTCAAAGTGATGCAGAAGTTTGGAGCTGACAGTGTTGAGTTCTACATGGTCACTCCAAGTCAGTATTGGCCGTTTTTGGTGTTTTTTTAATTTCTCCAAAGATTTTTTCGTGGAACTTCGGTTTTATCTCTTTGTGTGTGTGCGTGTGCGTTTAAACTTTTTTGGACACGGGAAAGTGAGCTCGATAAATTGCAGGTTTTCTCGGAAAGACTATTTTAGAAAAGAATATCTGTGTGTCGACCAACGCTATCTATGATCCGACTGGGACCTCTGCATCCCACGATTGTCGTAGGAGCTTGCGCTTTTTCTGGATTTCGTCCCGGCTGCTAGAATTCTTCGTTCCTCCACCAGTTTATCTAGAGGCGGAGTACTACGTTCTCTAATACACTGTACAGAACACTTCACAGAGCTTTGGTCGAGCTCAAAGGTGAGAGGTTTTTTCTTAGTTCTGGTCTGGTTCATTTCTTTGTTTACTGATCTCACATTTTGTTGGCTGCGACCAGCAAGGATTTCCACCAGGGCCGAGCTTCAAGGTTGGAGAATTATTTGTCTAGTTTTGGAATCTCACGAGTTTTCTAGCAGGATGAGATGACAATGGCCAAACAACTTCAAGAATGGATCGCTGCTAGTATTGATATCAAGTTTATGGACGACAAGCTGACCGAAAGCAGTGCCTCAGGGCAGTCCAAGAACGTCGTCAGAGCTTTATATTGCTAAGAAGAGGTGCGTGTTCTATGCGACCTAGCGATTAGAATCATAGTAGACAGATGCCTGTGCCAGGAAACTCGAGAGGATGTCTCAGACATTCTACTCTCGGGTGATCTACAAGTTTGAAAGATCAAGACAAGATGAATTGGTGGTGATGAGGTTGGATCCTGCATCACAGGGTTTTGTTGAGAGCTAGGTAATACCCATTATAATATTATAACATATGGACCATCCATTTAGAATTGTTCTTGTATATGTGTATGCTCTAATTAATATATTATTTTTTATATCTTGAGCACTTATATTAGTGGAGATGAACAATATTGCAATTTATCCCTAAAAGGCATAATGCTCTATTCTAGTGTTTGGGATTGTGTTTTTTGTTCTTATTTCTTCATTTTCTTTTAGATCTAGATCTGTATTAAATTTTTCAAGATCTAGAATTCTAGCTATCATTGTGTTTAGATTTACTTATTTTTTTAATTTTCATGGCATTCTCTTCTTCTACCATATCATGTTGTCATCGATCAAGGAGTATATCACTTAAGGCTGTTAATGCTACTCTATTGAATTGAACTTTTGGTGGTATAGAGTGTGATCATATTAGTGTTGCACCCATCTTTGGTGTGTTGCTATTTTCAACTTCTATGGGATATGATTATACAATTTGTCCTATTCTTGATGTTCTACCATCTCTTGTTGATATGGAATGTGATTGTGACATCGATTGGCGAGCTATAAGGGGTTCCAAATGTATAGTAGGGATAGTGGGTAGATTGGGCATGGCAGACCAATTTGAAACATAATTTAGCTCCCACTTGTGTGCTTGTCTTTGTTTTGCGTCTGGCTTGGGTCTAAGCCTAAATTCTATACCATGCTAGTTGGTGGAGTATTTATATCCTTACGTTAGGCCATTAGTATGCTGAAATAGTGCCAAACTCTGTTTGGCTCTATTTTACGTGTTAGTTTTAGCATTGGGATGGTGGATGCTCTAGGACTGTTCCAAGTCACTTCATGCTCCTGTCCTTTTGCTTCTTGGATTGTACGCTCGAGAGTCGTTTTGTACTTCGGTTCCTTTGCTCCTTGGCTCCATGCTTGGGAGTTTAGCTCCATTCCTTTGTTTAGTGGCCCAAGGCCTTGAAACTTGGGTTATGCACTATTGTCCTATGGATATGTTGTTATGATCTAGCACAAAAAGACAAAAATCTAGCCACCCTAAACTATGTTACACCACCTCTTGAGGTTCTTCACCACCCAACCACCCCCGAGTTACCTCAAAAGCTCTATTGTGCCACCGCTCCACTATGAGCCTTAGGGTAGGTTAAGTCCTTTACCCTAATATGCCTTAATATACCCTTGAGCCTCCCTTTGACCGATGTTGACCATGTGGTCAAAGCTGGCGCTTAACATATGTGGCATGTGGCATGTAACATATGACACATGACACATGGAGGATTTAGGTTCCACTTCATGGTTATTATATGGTAAATCACCATAGGATAAAAGGTGAAAATATGGTTATTATATGGTAAAGTACCATAAGATAAAGGGTGAAAACCATATGTGCTACATTCCATATGCTCTGATACTTTAAACCAACTGGAAAAGGAACAATTGCTAACAATCCATACTAAGCCAAGGGGAACCAACACCTTCATTTCCATATTAAATTTACCAATCCTTCCATTGTGTAAACCAACTATTCCATGTGAGAGTAATTAGTCATTCACCTGCACTGTAGTCCTACGGTGGATACCTTCATCTAGGATGCTCCACAAGAGGAAGGATGTATGTATGGATGCTTAATACATATGATTTTAAATTTCGGGGTAGAAATATACCTTGCTCAAGGGTATATTATATTTTAAGTAGCCACTAATCAATGGGAATTGAACTTGTGCCATTTGCTCTGATACCACATGTAGCGCACCCTA